GCAACCTGCTCTAGTTGCAGATGTCCCTGCCCACGGCAGGGGGGTTGGACTAGGTGACCTTTAGAGGTCCCTTCCAACCCAAACCGTTCTGTGATTTGATGATATACATATATCCCAGATGATAAGACACAAGGTATTGTCCTGCCCAACACTGGGTGTCCTTTGGTGCTGCCTGCATAGCAAATGACTGAGAAAATGGCTGGATTTTGGGGAGAGCAGGAGGCAGGGGAAGGGGAAAGAGAAGGAAACCAGGTTTTCTCTGTTCCCCCCCATCCAGGTGCCAGACGCCGCGGTCACTGCCATCCTCAACCACGCATGCCTCCCTCACCTCCAGCTCCCCGCGCGCCGCCACGATGCCAGCTCAGGAGTGACGTCCTGGACCCCCTCATCCCCTGCACCGCCTCGCAGCGAGGACTGTGCCCCGCCGACGGCTGAGGAAGGGGCCCCAGCCGGCAGCATCTCCACCGGTCCCAGTTCGTCTTTGTCTTCAGCTACTTTGTGTGCGCGTGTGTTTGTGTGAGACGCTCACGAACAGCCCCCGGGGCGAGGGGAGCTGCCCCCTCCTTCCTTCTGTCCCCCCTCCCCGATCTGGATCTGTCACTTTATTTATTTAACGTATTTATTTATGGAGTGGTTGATGCGCAGTCAGGAGGCGCGTTCGGACTGGAGGACATCCAAGGCTGGCAGTGGGCACCACGCCGACCGCTCCTCGGGTACGCTCGGCTCCCACCCCCTCCCCACGCCACCGCTGCAGCCCCCAAGCAGGGCTGGGTCACAGGGACACCGCCGGGGTGGGCACCACCGGCGTACTGCTAACCATCGTGCTCCGCAGAGCAGGCAGGAGAGGGCACGTGCCCCTCTCTGGTGGCTTTGGCAGAAGGTGAGGCAGCCCTGGACTCTGGCGCTGCATTTGCTTTGCTGGATCCCAGGGAATTTGGCTATTTCTACAAGGATTTGGAGACTTCGTGGTGGCAGCACCTTGCGCGGGGCTTGTCAGAGGCCCAGAGGGACTCTCCAGCCCGCATCAACACTGGTGGCAGCACTGACATCTCACTGACTTCTCGGCATGGCCCCCCGAAAATCCCGGCCCCAGCCACAGAGAGGGCTTGCAGATTAACCAAACCAAGTCGGTCCCGGTGGTGCCGGGACTTTGTTCACCTGTGCCATGCTCTGGAGACGGCTGGCCCTGTCCTCTTCAGTTGCGGGACACCCAGCTCGCTCCCATCCCTGATTAAGTGGGTATTTAACTCCTTACAGCAAGAACAGGAGATGGAAATCTCCGTCCTCTTCCACCCACCCCTCCCAAAGACACACGTAGTCTGGGGAGCAATGCTACCTAAGTGAAACCAGAGGGGAGAGTGTCCACCATCCTGGTAACTAAAGGCAATGAAGAAATGCAGGACAAAATGGTGATGCCCGGAGGAGTGATGTCATCATCGCTCTCCTTCGGGCTGGGTGATGCCCCATGGAGGTCACCTTGTAGCTGGGAGAAATTTCCTGGGGATTGCGTGGGTCGTGGAGGGACGGACGTGAAACGGGTAGTGGATAAGAGGGGGCAAGCCATAAGGGCGCTCTGGCGATCTGAAACCCATCCCAGGCAGCAGCACACGTAGGTGCCAGGACATCGCTCGGTGTTCCCGAGTGATTCAGCTTTCAGCAGTTCGACTGAGGGAAGAAGGTGGGTCCTCGCTGAAGACCATTCCTGGCAGTGCCGGGCCAGCAGCTGTGGTTTCCCTGGGACGGCTTCAGACGTGCGGAGGTGGGGGAGATCCGTTTGTTTGACAAGATCCTAATGAATGAGGGAGCGACCCCCTGGTTCACGTGGGAGGATACGGGTCTTCAAAGGGACGTATGCTGAGGCCAGTCCCTGGGAAGGCAGATCTGAGAAGACTGCAGGTAGGGAAGGTCTTCTGGCATCTTCTGCCGATGAAGAGAAGTTCCGCTGGAGGACTGGTCCCTGCTCACCTCGATGACTCCTGCACGCAGGACCCCGGGTGCGGGAGGGAGAAGGAATGAGGCACGGACACGGAGCAGAAACATCAGGAGCAGAAACATCAGCTGTGCCTACTTCAGAGCAGTGCAAGTCCCACCCAACGGGAGTGTCCCGTCAACGTGCTCCATGGGGCCAGGCTGGGGCATCCACAGACCTTCCCGCCCATCTCCTGACACATCCCCTGCTCTGCCACGGGGTGTCTTCTCCCCATCCCCTGTAACATTGTCCTGCCTCATGTTCTTGATCACTGCCCTCTGCCACCATCTTCCCTTCCCCACCTGTGCCCCATAACACCTTCTGCCTCTCTGAAATCTTTGTCCCCTTCTCCCCCACGCCAGCAGCTGGCTTGTAGGCTATTTTGGAAGCGGTAGGTTGCTCCCAGGACTGAGCTCACTCCCTTCGAGCAGCAGCCAGGTCTGGTCTGTGCTCAGCCTGGGGCGGAGGGTGCAGGAGGAAGGGCGTTTTAGGAGTGAGAGGTGGGTCCGTTCCACAGCTTGGGGTGAGGTCCTTCTGTCCGCAGGTACTGCCAGCAGCCAGGGGGTTGTCCCTGCACATCCCCTGGAGCAAGCTGGCTCTGGACCCATGAAACACGGTGGATAAGAGACCCAGTTCTTCATTTAGTTTTCAGGATAGCGTCTGGGAGTCAGAGTCAGGAAGCACAGACCTCAGAAAGGGGAGAAGCTGTCTGCAGGGTGGCCTGCAGGAATGTATTTTCCTCCCTTCCTTGTTTTCTAATTGCCTCAAATTCATCTTCGGCCGGATCAGCAGCTCACAGAGTCCCAAGGTGGTGAACCGGTGACAGTCTCTTTCACCTCCGTTCTCTACCCAGGGCATGGGAAACAAAGCTCAAGTTGATGGTGTCCTCTCGTTCCCCCTGGCTTGCCCCCAGCCATGGAGCATCACGTCGAAAGGTGGATGTGCGCCACACCAGTCTCCCATGGCATGCACTGGTCCTCATCTGTGTCACGGCAAAGGACAGGTCCAGGTCCAGCAGGACTGTGGTCACGGTGGGATCCACGTGGAAAACCTTCCAGCAGAGCACAGGACGGGCGTGCGAGCACCCGGTGCAGGGGACGGGCTGAGCCGCTTTCAACGTCCAAGTGCCGCTTGTGTCACCTCTATCATGCGCGTGGGTCTGGCAACCTCCCATGCACTCGCTCCGTCTCCCTCCACTGCTGCCGACGACCTCCCAACCTCCTTAGCACAAACCCCCAGGAAGGTTGTAAGCAGATGCTGGTGATTTGAGCTGAGACCGGGCGAGCTCACGGCGGCGTTTTCCCTCTGCCTCGGGTGGCTCCGCAGCCTCTCTGCATCGCTGCAGCAACCCCAGGTGTATATTTGTAATGTTCTTTGGTCTTCGTATGTTGGTGCGTGTGTATTTACATATGAGTGTGTGTAGGTGTGTGTGGGTGCGCGCACGCGTGTAGCCAAGGGATCTATTTACCGTCAATGTGAGTGACTGTACAGGGGGCAAATCCCAGAGGGGGTACGGGGCTGGGCTGGGGCTTTTTTTTGTTGTTTAATTGTTTAGTTATTTTGGGTTTCAGGTTTGGACTTTTTTTTTTTTCACGAGGGGGTGAGTTCGGGTCTGTTTCGGATTGATTGACAAGGTGAGGGCCTTGATTAGGACCAAATTTTTGTGCCTGTTGCTCTGGTGATTTATTTAGAAATCAAAAGTTTACTGTATGGTGGCCCATCCTTGTCACTCTATACATATGAATATACAGGACATATTATAAATATATATATATTATACATACTGTATGGAGAGAGGTCCTTAATCTCACACCCCCTCTGGCTTTGGACGGACACCTCTTCAATATGCTGTAATGTAGCTTTGACCCAGTGCTGGGAACGACCAGAAAGCGCCAGCACCCTTCGGAAAACTGGCAATGACACCAATAAAGGAATGAGCATCATTGCAAAGGGCGTCTGCAGCCTCGTTCATCCGCAGCTCCGGCCGGCTGGAACCCGCTGGCACCGCGGTGCCGCAGCTGATGCATTAAGCGCAGCTCCGCATCGCGTACCCTGCTCGGGGGGACCTCATGGGCTGTGTGTGTTTGGAGACAAGGATTTGGGATTTGGGCTCCTAATGCTGCGCAAACGGGGGCACCGATGCCTGCCCGGCTGGATTTCTCCATGTATTTCTCCTGTTCCATATAAGATGGAGCATTTGTACTAAACTGTAATTTGCAGGAAGCTTCACTAGGACGAGGTCTAAGCAGCAAAACCTGGTTTTGCTAGGAATGAGCTCGCTCGCTCTGTATAAAAGTCATTGTATGAGCTCCAAGAGTGTGGAGAGGCCTATGTAAAATTGGTAAATTGATTTGGGGGGGATTTCATTTTACGTGCTCGCCTAGTTCCTTCCAGCTTAGTGACACTGATGGCAGGAACGGGTCCCGGCACAGTCTGGTTTGTCAGCATCGGTTCAGCGAGGTCTGCAGCCTGCATTAGGCGCAGCACGGGAGGTTGGCAAAGGGGGAGGCTGGAGCCGGCCGGGAGGGCTGGCCAGGAGCACCGGCAGGTCACACGCCTGGGGAGGGTGGTTCTTGCAGGGGAAGGAGTGAAGAGCCTGGGGTAAAAGCAAAGCAAGAGAAGTGAGGTTAAACGGGGACAGTTACAGCCCACGGGGAGAGCAAGGAAGGACCCACGGACATTCAAGTGAATCGAAGCTGCTGGTGAAACAGGAGTTTGGGTGTTTCAGGAGCAGCAATACTGAGCAGGGAAGAGACTGGTCACCTCCCAAGTGCCGCTGCATTTTTCCCATGCCATTGGAAAATGGGAAAATTCCCATGTCTTATGCACTACAGCCCCTCTTACGAAGAAAACACTGCAAAGGCACTGAATTCCCATGCTTCGAGATTGTCCTCGGCAGTCTGACCTGTCCTGGCACCCGCAAGGCACTCCAGAAGCGTGGGCAGCTGATGCTGGGTATCACTCGCGGCCACTGTCACGGCTCCCTCTGCTCCCCAGCGTGTTTTAACACCGGCCTTTTCTTGTGAGCCGCCTCCGCACGCTCGTCCCGTGGCTAGCCTGGGTGCCCATGGGCACAGGGGGGAGCACGTGGACAAAGTTAGGGACAAGACACCCGGTGAGAAGGAAAAGGAAAGGGAACAAGAAGGCAATCCGTAGGCGCATTAGTAGTAAGAGAAAAATGAAAGAAGGATTCTTCACTATGCACCAGGGAATGAATGATAATATCAGAGGAAAAACTAAGCATGGAATCATTTTTTTTGCTTCAGTCTTCATTTAAAAGGTCAGCTGCGATCAGATGGCTAACAATAAATGTCAGCGAAAAAGGGCTGAGGCCTCAGGCTAAAATAAGAAAATGGTAGGTTAAAGATTTCTTACACATGCTGGGTGTTTCCAAATCGTCCG